AACATCAAAAGGCTTCTGAGAAAAAGAAATGCGAATGTAGTCAAAAGAGCTAGTTTAGAATAACTTTCTGTGCAACTCAGATGCAAAACAGACAATATTCTCTAATGGGAAAGCCATACTAGAAACAAGTTTCCAGAAATAACATAGCCAGCAAAGATATATTAAGGAAAAATGAACTGTAAGCAATAACCGGCCAATGCTTGGCAATCTCCATCCCCACTAAAACATTTATTTTCAATCCATTTTTTTTCCCCTTTAAATACCCCAGTGACAAATAAATTATGAGCATTATGGCTAATTCATTACTCAGCACCGCTACAGAAGGAAAGAAAAGAACAGCAATATTTTAAAGCAGATTCTTATTCTAGGAAAAATAAATTCTTGAATAGAAGTAATAAACTCAGTGGAAAAAAAAAATGCTCTTGCAGGTAAGTCATTGGACTGAAGCCCCTGAAACTGGATCCCTTGCTCTGCCAGACTCTACCCATGGCTGAGCCACTTGGGCCCTGGTACCATTAACTAAGTGAAAGCTTTATCAGCAGCTTCAGCAAAGGAATCAAACTCTTATTACCTGCCTCTGTTTCCCTATCTACAACACGAGCCAGCTCTTAACTTCTCCCACTTATCTTATTCAGGCTGCAGCTACCCCAGGGCAAAGCATCTCTCTTTGCAGATGCACAGCACCAGGCGCAGCAATAACGCTGTAACAGGATTCCTATATTAAAGTTGTCTTTAATGACATCCTTCATGCAAGCCCCTTTACTGGCTTCAAGGAAAGCGTGATTAGGTCTCTACAACATCTCTGGTAGAGTAGAAACACTGTCAGACTTGCTACATTTTAACACCAGGCCTTCAGGGAAGAGGGGTACATGCAAAAGCAACTTGGAAATCCCAGTTCTGCTCCTAACTGACTTCCCTGGTGACCATCTCAGAGCTCTCCTGTTTGTCTTTATGTTATTTACTGCTTTTTGGTGTTTAGAATGTTAATAATATCCCAATTCACAATTATAATAGAGACCAAACAGAATGAGCCCATCTCACACATCACACATGCACACACAAGCACCTGGGCCCAACAAGCCTAGCCCAGGAGCTCAGCACGACTCTCAAAACTTCGCATTCAGCAAACCAAGGATCAATTTTGCATCCACTCCCACGCCAACACCAATGCCCCCTCCTTGGGGGACACCAATTATTTTCCTTTCCACCTCATGCTCAGGCCAGTCCTCCCCTGTGGCTGGGTAAAGCACGTGAATAGCTGCGTTCAAAGCTGCAGCAGAGACACCTCAGCACAGCCCTGCAGAAACAGCTCCCAGCGCCGAAGAGCCGCCTCTCCGCGCTCCCCGCACGCCTGCCCTTCATCTAAAGAAGCCACCGACTTTGGCAGATGTTGGGTGCTCACAAGTAGGTCAGTTTGAACCGGAGCTATCCGAGGCTAAATGCTCGGGAGAGAAAATTAAATTGCGCTCCTGCTCCACAGACTGTGGCTGCCGACCCCAGAGCTCTCTGCCTTCTGCTAAAGCAATGATTTCACCACCGGCTAGGCAAAAGATTTGACTGGCAGGGTGATGAAATCCCTCAGCAGCACTTGAAGCGTTATTACCGGTTAAAATATTCCAAACTCTGCTGCGCGTAAGGATGGGGAGGCGAGGGGGACAGGAGGGAAGCGCTGCCAAGGTGTGTGAATCAGCCTCATCTAAATCACCGCCGCTGCACAGCCGCCAGCCTCGCTGCTCACACTGCTGCATTTGCCCAAAAGGCGTAAGGCTCTGCTTGGAAAACGCAGGTCCCATCCTTCGCTCCTTGTGCCATCGGCACTGGGAAACGTTGGCTTTTTAACCCACGCTTTGAGAGCGCAACCAGAGCGGGAAATCGCCTGGGCTTTTCAAAGTTGCTGCTGAAACCCGGAGAAACTTATGCAGCAGGGAAGCTTTACCGGCAGCGCCTGCCCAGCACCACTGCAGTTGCTGGGAAACTCAAGTTTCCAAAAGGACACGGGAGTAATTAGATAAAGCCAAATAAACGCGCACACGAAATGTTACAAGAACATGCAGATAGGAGGGTAGGCTCAGCCGTGGCAGAAATTAAGCCAGCAGCAGCGGCTGGCATTTGCATAAGCTATGCAGGATAGTCTTGTAATGAGCGCACAGCACATCGGAACAGATGCATTTGCGCAGGCAGCGGGTGCAGTAAGCGACAAACACGCTGGAATGTGACATTGATCAAACATTCCCTAAAATTTCACATGAAGGGCCCCAGAGAGGCACCTATCGATTAAACATACACATCCACTATTGGCATCCTGGGGTGTTGTGAGCACCGAGTTCTGTGGGAGAAGGATTAGACTTCATAGATTTTTATCAGCATTTGTTATTTATGACGCACTGTTGGCAAGTGCAGTGCATTATCCATATAAACATGCATAAAAGTGAACAATCTTTGCTTGAAAACCACACAGTAGATGAACGGAGACTTTGCACATTATTTGAGCATTCTTTGCTTGTCTATTGTGCTGAGAACGTGGAAAAGTTTCTTACCATCTCTAAGAAGAAATTACAATAATTACAATATATACTTCCGAATTTATTGATGAGAAAGCCAAGCCAAATTGAATCCAAGCTCCTCCATCACTCTTAACAAACCAGGCCACTGCCTGGCTGTCTTAAGACACTCAGTTTTTGCCCTCCTGTCTCTGCGTAGAGGAACACGGACACAACTGAGAAAAACCAACTTGCTGCCCTAAAAGGAGAAATGAAAGGGTTCCTTTTCCTGAGTTACAAGTACCAAGAGAAAGTCATAATGCAGCCAGGCAAAGCAGAAGTAGGAATACAGCACTCCATCAGTGCAGACAGACTAAAATTAGTAGTTTATTCAACTGTCCAGACCCATGCACTGTAATTGTCCTCCACAGCATCTCCCTATTTGTCTTTCGTTCTGTTTGTTCACTGCTTGCTTTTGCCTGCTAATTTGTCCCTCGGGGACCAGCTCAGCAACCCACCGCAGAGACCAGTAGCCCTTATTCATAGGAGACACTTGGGTCGATTAAAATCCATGTGCGGTTACACCTGGGCAACTCCATGTGATCTCCACGGATTTTAGCACCCCACTTCCCAAGAGGGCAATTGAGAATAGCACCTGGCCCCACAGGATATTTAGTTTGCAAAAAATATTAGGTCAAAACTTCCCCGAGCATGTTCCCCGCTCCTGCTTTCACTCTCCCCAAGACACCTGTAAGCACAGCACTGATGCAGAACCTCCTTAAGCATAAACTTATCCTCCAAAGATTAATATAACACATAGGTCTAAATTCCACATTTGCATCTATGTGGCATTTGCAGCAAGGGATGATAAGTTACACAGAGAACAGCGAAACACTTGCACAATGCAGCTGTGCCGCTTCTCATGCATGCTGTGGATTGTTCTGAGTTTTTTTGTTTTGTTTTTTCCTCTCCTGTCCCCATTGACCATTTGCTGTTACTGTCTGTGGAGCTGGCTGGCCATTAGGGCATGATGTCATGTTGGTCACGATACGGCCTGCTCACATCATGTGCCCTGGAGAATCAGAGAGGGAAGGGACAGGAGCACCTCGGACAGTTTAACCCATGAGGGGAAGGGGCTCGAGACTCTTAGAGCGCAATAGCAGCAGTGTTTTGCAGCCACTGTGTTCGGGATACATGAAATACTATGAAGGAACAAGCAGAAGCACCTCATTTCAGTGCAAAGCACTGGAAAAACTAGAGGGAGGAAAAACCTCTGGCTCTGTAACAAGACAGCAAAGGAGTTGGACAAAAATGCTCTGCTATGGGCTTCATGATCCTGCGTGGCCGACACACAGATCCTCTAGCAAGACGTGCCAGCACTGGCCCCCTCACGGCTTGCTCTCTTCCTAGCACACTGGTGCCCACTAGGTGACATCAGCTCAGTGGGCTATTCCTTGGCTATTATTTTAATGCAGGATTATCCCACGCTCATTCATGCTGACAGCTCAGTTTGAAGTAGCTCATCTGAAACAGCGTATCTACTTACTAAGGTGTTACCCATGGGAGAAAACCACGGCCCTGGCTGGCCTAAGAAGTAGTGACAACCACAGATGCCCACACCAGGCAGGAGAACTACTGAATTCCCCCCACAAAAGACATGATGCAGCTCAGTTTGTAATTATAAGCACATTCCAAGCCAAACTTGCATGTTTCATTAAACGGAAAATGACTGCAAATTTGCATTTCATATTCACAGAGAATATTAGCGCTATTTTAGCTACGTGCCTTGCAAAATTACAGATCACATTCAATACAAATTTACATAGACTGTTTATGTTTGTGAGAGAGAAGCAGAGCTAAATATGGAATACAAGTGCAGGATGTGGAGAACTTGCACTTAGATACTGTATACACTACACTACATATACGGCCTCAAAAAACCTCAGAGATTAGCAAATACGGTTCTTTTCCATGGAAACTATAATTCTCAAAATCCAGCAAGCTATTTTGAGAAATTTACATCAACTCCCCGCTTACATGTGCTGGAAGCAGAGCACTTTTCTCGGCTGCCTCTGCCTGCAGAGGCTCGGGGACACCAGCCCAGCCTCCCGCTCATCTTCCCAACTCTTGGGCTCCGCTTGTGCAGCTGATGCCGGCGCTCGTGGCGCGGGCTCAGTGCAACGTCCCATGTCGCCTGTTCCGTACCCAACCCCACGCGGGTGGCTTAGGGGGCCGCTGTATCGCTGGCAAAGGACAAGGTGGGAGGCAACGAACTAGCCCGAGGCGAACGTCCCCTTGTGCTTCGCTGCCCTTTGCGCGGCGCAACTCGCGAGAGCCGGCAAGGGGTAGCGGTGACACCGAGCGCGGCCGCGGGGGACCCGGCGGGGCAGGGGGGCAGCCCCGGGCTGCTGCTGAGTCATTTCGGGCTGGGACACGGCGAAAGCCGCAGCGAGGTGCCCCGGCGCGGGGGAAACTTCTCCGGCGCCGCTGCCCGCGCCGCGCCGGGGCCCGGGCACTCACCAGGTAGGCGCCCACGGTGCCCTGGGCCAGCATGAGGGCGCACTCGGACACCAGGAAGAGCTGGATGCTGGAGAAGCAGGACACCTTCCTCCTCCTCTTCCTCTGCC